CAAACACCAGGAAAGCTTCGGATTGAATAAATCTTTGATTATCTAAGATAAGAGCAAGGCCCCGAATCTCGTGGGCCGCCTTATGTAAAATGCATCCCAGCACCCGTCTGGGGAGTCTGAAATCGGCCTCCATCCGAAGGCAACAAATAAACAATATGTAGAAACATTAATGCGCCATAACATTTGGCATGGGAATCAAACCGAGAACCCGTCAACCTCGAATCCTTCTCAATCAAATCAATGGCTGGGGGACGGCAGGCAAACAAAATCATCATGCATGCTGGAGGGAATCTAGAAAGTCGTCTAAAGAACTGATCATGTCCAAAGAAGCACAGCTAGTCGTCATTTAGGCCTTGACCTCGTACTTGCGGCGGAACATGTCGTCCACCTCAGTCAGGTAGTAAGTGCCCGGGAAGAGGGTCTCCGTGTTGCCGGAGGGCTTGAAGTTCTTCTTCAAGTGAGCGTGCTTGCGGAGATCGCACATCTATTCCAGCACAATTAGCATTCTGCAACGAAAGATCAGCGGCTCGATGGCTCCTTACCTCAACATAGGACTGGGGAGGAAGAACAACGCGGCTGTTGAGACGGTTGATCAAGTCGAGCTTCTCAACAATGGTCGAGACATCACCGACAACCTTGGCGCTGAGCATGGAACTGGCGAGACCACTGCCGTAGGAGAAGATACCAATGCGCTTGGGCTGGCTAGGGTCGAACTGAACGTAGGACAGCAGACTGGCCAGGCCGGCCCAGACGGTACCAGTGTACATGTTACCGCAAAGAGTGGCAACCTCAATGGCGGGCTTGACACGCTCAGCAAAGCGCTTCTTGGTCAGAGCCATGAAGGTCTTCTCAACGTTCTTGTCGGTGAGAGACTTCTCGTAGTCCAGGTCACGCAGCTCAGGGGCGACCTCGGCGAAAGCTGGGTGGGTGGGGTTGGCGAGGAAGTCGTTGTAAAGCATACGGCCGTAGGACTTCTGGACCAGCTTGCAGGTAGGGGCGTGGTAGGCGAAGTAATCGAAGCGGTCCAGACCGGTCTTGGACTCGTCAGACACGCCGTTGGTGCCGTTCTGAGCCTTCTCCTTGAGAACCTTCTCGCGGGCGTTGAAAGCCTTGTAGCAAGCATCCACAGCCTCGGTGTAGCAGCGAAGAGAGAAGTGACCGTCCACGACAGGGTACTCGCTGGTCAGGTCGGGCTTGTAGAAATCGTAGGCGTGAGTGACATAGGAGGCACGCAGAGCGGTGTCGAGCACAATGGGGGCGTCGGGACCGATCAACATAGCAACACAGCCAGCACCACCAGTGGGGCGGGCAGCACCCTCAGCGTAGAGAGCAATATCACCACAGACAACCACGGCATCTCTGCCATCCCAGGCGGAGGACTCGATCCAGTTGAGACTGTTCAGCACGGCGTTGGTGCCACCATAGCAGGCGTTAACGTTATCGACACCCTCAACGTTGGTGTTACCGTGGGGAGCCAAGAGCTGCATCAAGACCGACTTGACGGACTTGGACTTGTCCAGAAGGGTCTCAGTGCCAACCTCGAGGCGGCCAATGGAGTTGGGGTCGACGTTGTATTTGCGGAGGAGCGAGGAGAAGGTGGTCAAGCAGATGGAGTAGATATCTTTGTTTGGAGAGAAGCACAATCAGCACTGAGTTCCAGAAAATTTCAACAACTCAATAGAAGCATACCTTCACGGTCATCGCAGAAGCTCATCTTAGTCTGGCCCAGACCAATGGTGTATTTGCCTTCGCTGACGCCATCGAACTTCTCGAGCTCGGCCTGGTCAACACACTGACGGGGGAAGTAGACCTCAATGGCCTTGATACCGATGTTCTGGGGACGAGCAGCCATGGTGAAATAGGGGGGAGAGGAAAGTGGGATGGTGGGGAAGAGTGAAGGTTAATTAGGAGGATTAATGGAATAAGTCCAAGGAGGAAGGAACTTTTTGAAGTGTTCAACGAAAATCACAGAGAAAGAAAAGAAGAAGGGATGAGAGGATGGAGGATGCAAGTGAGAATGAGAGAGGAAATTCTAAGTAAAGAAGAAGAGAAAGAAAGAGGGGGAGAGTCGGTATATAAGTTGTAGGAGTGCAAGCTGGCTGGTACGTACAGAGTGTATCTACAGTGGGGGTTGGTGGACTACGAAGACTGTTAACTACACAGTAAATACTAGCACGTCCCGGGAGTGCATCCCAATTATTTTCTTTTATTTTCTTTCTTTTTTTTTTTTTGCCCCCGTTCCTTGACCACTTCAGTAGGCTAACAAAACTAGCCTGCAGGGGGTGGGGCTTGCCGACAGCCCCTGGTTGCTGGTTGGCGGCTTGGTGGCCTGAGGCTGGCCCGAGTCCAGTCTGATTCCTTCTTTTCCTTTTCTTTGCACCACCACCACATGTTGTGCTGCTGCTGCTGCCGCTGCTGCCCGGTTCCGAATCTACTCATCCTCAAACCGCAACGTGGGACCTATAACTATAAATCCTACTCCCATACTGTTCTTATATTATATCGAAGATGATCAAAACTCACCATCCTCCTATTCAACCCCTTCCATTTCTGCCTGTGCCATCTAAGATGACGCGGATGAGACAATTTTCTCGGAATGTGCTCCAACAGTCAGATCCACCTCCTAATTTCCACACTGGTTCATCTGAAGGTGTCCAGGATCTGGTATACGCCGTACTCTTCATCCTATCTCCCGATGCGGATGGATGCGAACTGTTTCGATCCAACCACAGCCGGACTCCCCCTCAGCGCATTATTACACAAACTGCCTTGCCCTTGCTTTTAGTCTGATCGACTTGTGTTTGTTATGGAAAGGATCCGTAGCTGAGATTGAATGAGTTTACTTGACCCCGTTCCGTCTCCGTTCCCTGGGTGCTTCCTTTTCACCGACACTTACGGAGGTAAATCGCGGTATATTCGGTCCACCACAACAATACACTTAAAAGGGAATCTCCTGCACGTCACCTTGCGAACTGACACCACGTAGTCGCTGAAACTGACAACAAATCGATCCTGTCACTGCAGTAGCTTTATATGAGCTATCAGACTGCGGGACCAGATCTTATTCCACAATTAGTGGTGATTTCCTGTGGTAATCCTCGGTTGCCCTCGGGTGCACATGGTACGGTACAGGAGCATCTCCTAGCATTAGTTGGGTGGTGACGATAGTGGCCTACTGTGTACACCTATTGTTCTCGCGGACAATATAGAAACACTCCCGGGGCCTTCAATCCAACACACAAAATTATCTTCTCCCGCTTGCGTGTCTGGACGCATGGTGGGGGTAATCGGTCAGTGATCCACCTTGTCCTCTCTTCTAACCACCCCAGTCCCTGCTGTCTTTCGGGTGACTCGGACTTGTGATACGAAGGGCTGAATACCTGTCGAACCTCAACAAGGGAAAGGTGTTCTGGACGTCACCATGGTCTGCATTTCTACGTCGGGACTACCCAGCGGGGGTGCCATGCCTAGATACAGTATGTCAGCTTACAACATCGACGGCGACAGCGACAGCGACAGCGTCAAGGTTCCAAGCACCATCAAACCAAATGCTGGATTTGAATCTTCATGCCTAATAATATCCACCCGAGGCCGGAGGGTGTGTAGGTCACCAAAGGGATTGGGGCCTGGCAAAATAATCAATCTTATCTTGTGGATCTGGCCGGTGGGATCGGTATAGGACGCTCCATTCTTGCCGAGATCGCTCTTTGCCCAACCCTCCAATTTGGCAACTTCCCATACAGGATCTCCTGGTGGGTTCGGATTTCCAAGGAGCGAGATGGAACGATTCTGTCTACCTTCTTTGCCCGCTCGCCACCTCGAGTTTTACCTTTCAAAGAATTTTTTTCTCTGAAGCCAGGCTAAAAGGTCAATGAGAGTTGGTGATAGGCGTGGCTGCCGTTGCCCCTCTCGTTTGACATCCCTCCTTCCAAATGTGTCTGTTATATGCCCAGAAGAATCCTTGTAGTAATGAGGGTCCACTTGCTGCGCAAGTCCTCGCCATGGCCTCCAATCTTGTTCCAGCATCCAGTGAAGTTGTCAAGGTCGCAATCATTCCGGGTCACGACGGCAGATCCTGACTATACTATCGGAGACGAATTTGAAAATAATGCAGTGTAAGACATTGAATGGTCTGTCTAACCCGAGGGAGATTAGATCGACATTTGTCTCCGATTTAATGTACACATGTAGGTGCTCGAATACTTTCTTCGAACCTCGAAGTACTAATAAAGGATGATTTCGGCCACATTCACGCGCACTAGAAACATTGTAAGCGAATCTTTTTGAGTGAATTGTAAGGCCGTATTTAGGCCTCGCATTCGATAACTACACTTTCCCTTCTAAATTGTTGCCAAGTCTATAATCCTAGCACGCCTGCTAGCATTGCTAGCATTTTCTTACTAATCTAGGAACAGCCATCTTTCTATTCCGCGATGGGCAACAGCGGTAACGTGGCTAGTATGTACATAACGGTACAAATCAGATACCCAACATACTCGCCGTGATCATGCTGATAAGGGACAGTTTCATGGCGTATGAGATGTGTATTCAGCCCTCCGTAATGATACCGCCTACAATACTTGCGGACCTGCCGTTGAATCCTCCTCGTCATGCACAAAAAGATTCTGTTGTTCATGATGCAGTATCATCATCCATCATAATCGTTGTCACCATTGAGACTAAATACTACATACATCAGCATAACCGTTGACAATGTCGATCCTCGACTCAGTGTATGTGTGTGTGCCCTGACGATCCGGTCGGGAGAAGTCTGATCCAGGAACCCAGAAGAAGAGCCACCGAGGGAACTCTTCTGCCTAAGGAGAGGAGAGCCGAGCCGGAGCCAACTGAACTGAGTGAATGGACAAACTGCGCCACGCGTTATCCCGTAAGCCTCTCTCTCAGCTGTCTCTCTGAGCGGCTTGATCCGGGGAAGACCAAATCGAACTCAAACTAATCATCTGTCCTCCACCTAACCATCAATCACCTCCCTATCGATCGATCCAGGTCGCAACTGCCCCATTATCGGGCTTCTTTCATTCTTTTCCTCAAGCCCGGTTGCACTGCTGACCATTCTGGATGCCATTAATCGCATTCTAGAATCCCTGAACCACCGGCTTCCTCCCCCCCCCTCCATCGTTTCGGGGGGAACTTCCCTTGCCAATCATTTTCTAAGCTCGCCATTCGGGGAGCATGTTTGCGCTTGTATCCTTTGCCTCATTCAGATCATGATCCCACTGATTCTCCGCTGATTTCTGTATCTGTGATACTATCTACGTCGCACGGCTCCCGGGAGCTCCATACCTCCCGCCATGGGTAACGATCAGAAGTTCGACTACGAATCCCTGCCGATTCCTACCTACGAGGAGGCCATCGGTGCCCGTCCTGGCTCTTCCCGGTCCCATCTCGATTCGTCCGACGAAGCAGGCGACAATGCTGAACGACAAGGCCTTCTTCACCGGAGTGGTCCGGATACCACTCCGCGGGCGGAGGCCCGACCTCGTGGCTATCAGCCTCCCACCGTCGAGTCCGCCCGCAACAGTATCGATGACCTCGACTCGACCGGCTCGAGATCGGAACGAGGGTCCATGGAAGAGTTGCGACGGGAACTCGATCAGATGGACGTAGAAGATGGCCCTCAGTCATCCTCTCGCCGCTCACAGTTGCGGTCGCGATTCTCGAAGCGCTTCAACAACTTGACTCGCTCCCTCTCCTCCTTCAATCTACCATTTCGCCGCTTCCTCCCTACGTTTCGGTTCACGATACGTCTCGACGATGCTCGTGCAGGGCTGAAGAACAACGCGTGCATGATATTACTACGTCTTTTCGGAGTTTTCCTGGTTGTCACCGTGGTTTATATCTTCTTCATATCGGACATCTTCAACATGAATACTCGATTTATCATGGGACAGTCATACAGTGCCGCGTCCGTGGAGAACTTTGTTCAGGGACATATCAACGAGACCAATATCGCCGAGAATCTGAAAAAGCTGACCGCCTACCCTCATATGGCCGGTACGGAAGGTAGTTATGTGCTTGCAGAATGGGTGGAATCGGAGTTCAAAAAGGCGGCGTTCGACGAGGTTGAAATGGAGGAATTCCAGGTGTACTTGAACTACCCTACTCCCGACGGCAGACGGGTGGCTATTGTGGACCCTCCTCAATTGGCCTGGGAGGCAGCGCTGGAGGAGAAAGAAGAGCAAACGTTGGTTTTCCACGGACATTCAAAATCTGGGAACGTCACGGGCCACCTTCTCTACGCCAATTTCGGCTCTCGCGAGGATTTCCATTACCTAGTAGAGCAAGGCATCGACGTGAATGGATCCATAGCGCTGGTCCGCTATGGAGGCACGGAGTCTGATCGTGCTCTCAAAGTCAAGGCCGCCGAACTTGCTGGCGCGGTAGGCTGCATCATTTATTCGGATCCGGCGCAGGATGGCTTTGTCCAGGGTCCTGCCTACCCCGAGGGACGTTATATGCCTGCCGATGGAACACAACGTGGGGCAGTCAGTCTGATGTCGTGGGTCGTCGGAGATGTCCTCTCGCCCGGGTTTGCCTCTACGCCAGATGAAAAGAAGAGGCTCAAACCAGAGGAAAGCCAGGGGCTGCCGAATATCCCCAGCATTCCGCTTGCCTGGCGCGACGCCCAGAGGCTTCTTCAAGTCCTGGATGGCCATGGTGCGCAAGTGCCAGAAAAGTGGGTTGGCGGCGTTCCGGAGGTGAAACAGTGGTGGACGGGAGCCAAGTCCTCGCCAACCGTCAATCTCATGAACCTCCAAGACGAGGTGGAAAGACAGCCCATCTACAACGTGGTTGGCAGGATAATTGGCTTGGAACAACCGGAGAAGAAGATCATAATTGGCAATCACCGTGACTCATGGTGTCTCGGAAGCGCCGACCCTGGCAGCGGTACCGCAGTGTTCCTGGAGCTGGTTCGGGTCTTCGGGGAACTTCTCACCTTCGGCTGGCGTCCTTTGCGCACTATCGAATTCATCAGCTGGGATGCCGAAGAATATAACCTCGTCGGTTCGACAGAGCATGTGGAGAAAGAATTGAAGGCGCTCAAGGAGAACGCTTACGCCTACATCAACGTCGACGTGGGAGTTAGCGGTCACGAATTCGAGGCCGCTGGGTGTCCCCTCTTTGAGCGGGTCGTCACGCAGATTCTTGGCCGCATCGCAGATCCCATCAGTAATGAAACCCTGAAGGATTTGTGGCAGAAGAACAAGAAGAGACTGGGTCCGCTGGGAGCCGGGAGCGATTATGTGGCTTTCCAGGATATCGCCGGAACCTCCAGCGTGGACTTTGGCTTCGCTGGCGAACCGTTCCCTTACCACAGCTGCTACGAGAATTATGACTGGATGACGAAATTTGTTGATCCAGAGTTTCAGTACCACAAGATCCTTGGTCAATTTTGGGGTCTTCTGATTCTTCAGATCGCAGACAGCCCAATCCTGCCCTATGACCTCGAAGGCTACGCGAATCACGTGGGTGGCTATGTCAGCGACTTGGAGCAGTATGCCAAGTCGAAGAGTGTTCCCATCGCCGAAGCAGCATCGGAGGCCACGGTCACCTTCAAGCCTCTATATGAGGCGGCCGTGAAGTTCAAGGCCGATGCGGAGCACTTCCAGCAATGGGGTCAGATCTGGCACGATGCTGTTTGGGGCGCTGGCGGATTCGAGAACAACGTGATGGCTGTGCAGCGACTGTCGTACAACGCGCGGATGGCTCATTTTGAGACCAATCTCTTGGACGACCGACCAGATGGCGGAGTAAGTCGTTCCTCTCTGCTGAATTCAATCTCGAAACTGACTGAGTTTCCTAGGTACCGAACCGCACGCAATTCAAGCACGTGATCTTCGGGCCTGAATTATGGTCTGGCTACGATCCGACCCTTTTCCCCGCCATCCGAGACAGTATCGACGCGGGCAACTGGACTCTTACTCAGGAGTGGATTGATCGAGTCTCGGACATCATCTCCAGCGCGAGTAATAGCCTTGTTCACGACTGATACTTTGGGTCCACATCTCGTCTATAATCATTCCACTTTCTATAGAAATACCCCTCCCCCTCTTGTTTTCCTGTCTGTCTCAGCTGCGGTGGCCACCAAGCAGCACCACATCACACCTGTCATATATATGCTCACCTTTCACACCACCAGCTCCACTGCACAATCTTCCTTTTTTTTTTTGTCAATGTTCCATTCTGTGTGTATCATTTGCGCCGCATCCTGAGAGAATCTGGCCTCACAAATAACCCCCTCCCCGCATCCCGCCCGTAGATAGACCACCACACATCATTCCCTTGGAGGAACATGAACATAATGGCATGTTCTTCGAAGTGCTTCTTTCTTTCTGTTCCCTTCTTGACAACCATATCTCCTGGCCTCTTATCTCTCTGTACCTATCTTCTCAATCTATACGGTGTTCCTTACTGTTTCCTGCACTTAATTCTGATTCTGAATACCTTTCGCGAGGTACTGCTCCTGAATTATGGGTGGCTGTCTCGGTCTAAGGGTCGGATGTATGACTCTGATTCGTCTTGCGCAAATGCATCATCTACCTCCCGCCTCCCGCCGCTTTGCTTTCTTGTTCATGCGGAAAGGTTTCATCGCAGCCAAACAAGCACCCAGAAATAACTTCCATGAACCCACCTGCAGCTAGCCAGTGCACCCCCGTCCCGCTGCCGCTCCTCCAGCTTTGCAGACAACGCCGGCGAAACCTGACAAAACCGTCAACCCTTCAAGGTTCTCCACCCCCTGTGCTGGAGAGATCCCAAGCGCCACCACCTCTACCCAGCATGCCTAGCTTACTTCCCTACTCACGACTAAGCCCGTGCACTGTACTGTAGTGTACTGTATACATCCACCGATCCATCACTCGAACCCAGCCAGAGAACGGGACCTGGGTTGCGGGGGGCTTATAGAGGATTTACTCGGGTCTAGATCGTGGTCCTTATCATCCTGCGTTTTCTCCCCTTGTTTCTGGGCCGGGGCGAAACAACCACAGCTAAATTAAAGCCGCGGATCAATCTGTCCTGCCCTGCCTGCCCTGCCCCATCAAGAGATAAGTCGGGGACGCCCCTCCTCTCACTCGACTCAACTCATCCAATTACATTACCCCGTAGGCAGGGACGTAGGGCCCGGTGGGTGATTGACCGGATCGATATCCTGATACTGTACCTATAGTCTGTGCCAGATAGTAGACCAGGGTAGAATAGACTAGACTAGACTAGACTACTCCGTAGACTACTACTACGAAAAGTCCTTCGAGCTCCTGCCCTCAGAACCGGGCCCTACAAACCAAACCCTAGTTATGAGCACCGTCCCCCATTCCCGGATACAAGCATGGACGATTAGGGATCAAAAGTAATTGTTGGGTTGATGATTGCCAAAGTGGACTAGATAGCTACGGAGTACTCATGATGGAGCCTTTGGTCATGTAACGGAAGATATATCTAAACCTTACGAACCATTCTACATCAGAAGAAAATCTTCGAGTTTCTGTCCTATTGACAAGGAGGCATCTATCTGGAGAGTCAAGCACATACTAATCCACAGATATGTATTCTGACAGGGTAGGGAAGTAAGTACTATATTTACCATAAGGCTACAGCCTAATCCAACTCACCAAGCCCCAAGATCGAGAGAAAGAAACCAATCGTGTCAATATAATAAGCACTTACTAGGTGTAGTTTGTACTAAGCTGTACTGTACTGTACTCTCATGACGAAAACAACAGACATGAAAAAAAACCAGACCGCCCAGATGAACATGAACAAGAAGACGCCGGAGTTGACATGTATTAGAACTCAGAACAGTACCAGAAATTAAAAGAAAACAAACACCCTTGATGCTGTATGTGAAAACTTGCGCCGTGTCTCTTTTATGTGTGTCAAGATCAATAGCCATCGGCCCAGTTGAAAAAGCCCTGATATATATATACAATACATGTGCTCTGGGGGTATGAGTCGAACAGGAAAAACAAGATGGAGGTGGGTTCGGAATGCGGGATTAGGATTGATGCATTAGTTTAGGTATGGTTCGTCCCCAGGGTGTATATGCTTGTGGGCCAGAGACAGGTTTGGAAGGAAAGAGGCGTGGAGGATGATTTTGGATAGGTCGTGTCGTATGATATAGAGGGTTATCGTTTCGGAGGTCGTCAGCGGGAGGTGGCTGGACTGTACAAGCCATCATCACTTGCGGAAACTCTCAACGCCCAGCGTTGGGGTCTCGACCAATCGATCGCAGGGCACGCCCTCATCGCGACGGCGGGCGAAGAAGTTATCGCACTCCGACACAATCTGTGCCCATTCCGCTAGTGCTCGGCCCGCGTATTTGCTCGCCGCGAACCGATCGTTCATGGCAAGCTTGAAGTCTAGCCCGTCCGTTGTCTTGTCGGAGTCAGCGGTGTCCTCCGTCGGCGTCTCGTCCTGGTCGTCGGAGTAGGGGCTGGTCTGTCGTCCGTCACTCATGGCGTCATCATCGCCCTCGGTAGCGGACACATATTCGGAGGTTGTATCACACTCCGATTGCTTGGCCAGGGCCTTGCGCAGCTGAAGATGTAGTTGTGACCCCACGGGAAGGCAAGGGGTAAACAGTCGCTTGTTTTTACTCGGCCACTGAGGCCGGTCCATCCATTCCAGCGAGAATTTGAATGAATACGGCTGATGCGCTGTGCGAGGCCGCCCCAACTCCCCGGGCCCGTTGGGCTGCCGCCACTGATTGTCTGGTGGCTTCTCTGCCGTCCCCACTACATCAGAACCAGAGGAGTCTGACTCATCGGAACTACTGGACGAAGACCCTTCACCGCCAGTTCTCGAATTCGACGACCCCCCAAACATGGCTCTCAGAATACTCCATTTCTTCTTGGTGGGTGGTTGGTTCTCCGCGGGGTCCGGCTTCGATAACGCACTACCTGCGAGAGTTGATTTCTCCGCTGGAGCCGGAGGTATGACGCGATCGAAGGATACAAAGAAACTAGACGGAGACAGCTGGTTATCGCAGCGAATAATGATGATCCTACGCCCCGGTGCCGGGGTACAGGGAGCGGACGACAATGGTGCCGAGATCTCTTCCTCGGCTTTGGCCTGGAAAGCCTGATAGTACTTCCAGGTCCGCTGCAGCCGGTTGTAGAGTGTCTCATATATGGTGGTGTCGAGCATGGTCGGGTCGTCACTAAATCGACCTAATCTCCAACACAGCAGACGCTGGAAGTATGCTCGAACCATGGGACTCCAATGACTGAAATAATGGTAGAACAGAGACTCGTCCAGGAGGAACTTCAGACAGAGGTCGGCTTTCCTCTCTTCCGAGGCGATCCAAGTACTCCAGATGCAGAAGAGAAAAGCGAACACGCGCACCTCAGTAAGAGAGTTGTGGCTTTGCATCATCTGACGGCAGACCTCCAACCAGAACTTCCAATCGAATAAGTCGGCTTCGATGGAAAGAGAATATCGGGTGACGATTGGGATGACTTCCTCGACGAAGTCACACAGAAGAAAGCACGCGTTATGATCGAAAAGCGACGTTTTTTCCGCTGCAGCCCTCATTATGGTACCAAAGGACTCCGCATACAATAGCCTGGCATGATTCGGCTCGAGGGAGGATTCGGAGAGAAAATCCCGCAGCAGGATGATGAGACGGTTTTCAGCCATCAATCGATGGCTGTTCGCGGTCCCCAAGGGCAGCGCCGAGACAGCTGCATCGGCACCCTCAATGAAATCGTCGAACGTGACAGCGGACGCGGTGTGGGTGCTGTCTGGCACCTGGGGTACTGATTGCTTGTACAGCGTATCCTCTAAAACGACCAGAAGCTGCGAGTGGACTGGCAACAGGCCAGGTGCCAGGATACGCTTTGACTTTTCTAGCTCCGGTGGCAGCGCATCCGCATAGAGCACATGAATGTATTTGACAAAGACAAAGAAGAGATCGGTGTCTCGACCGCACCATCGAGTTGCCCAAGGGCTCTGCCACGGGATTTGAGCGGTACTCAGTGGAACATCGGGCTTTTGGCGAAGATACCGAACAAGTGCCGTGTGAGCGTAGAACGATAGACTGCGCAAGGCGGCCGGGAAGTTTGCGGTGAGTTCCTGGGCCAACGCGCGTGTTCCGCTACCCTTGTCCAGTTTTGACTGGTCAAGGACTCGCCGGAAGATGCTCGGTGGTGTGTTCCACAATCGCACAAGAATATCTGCCACGCCAGGGCAGAAAAAGAATGCATAGGCACAGGCTTTCCCGCAAAAAGCGACCAAGCTGGCCGGAGCATGTCTCATCGACATCCGCTCCACCACGAAAGCCATCTGGGAGAGCAGGTTCTGAATGAAGATATTCCTGATATTGTGGTGGATAGATTCCAGAAGGAAGTCCGAGCCCGAGGAACCATCCGACGACTCCGATATCGACGTCGATGCATGTGTCAAGGACTTAGAGAAGTTTCGACTCGACGGAGGCATGGGAAATGGTATTCTCCATTCCGGGCGCGTCATTATTCCTACCACCGCTTCCAGATACACGGGTCTATCGGTTCCAGATATTGACTGATTGTTCTTGCCGTTCAGCATCTCCATCAATCCAATCCACCATTTGTTGAGAATATTGACTCGGCGATCTAGGTCTTCAGGTCGCAACTGCTTGAACGACGAGTGCGAATGGCTGCGGTTGAGAAAGGGTGATAGGGAAGAGCGAATGACATTTGCCTTCAAAGCACTGGACTTGGACTGGAACCTGGACAATGGTAAGAAAAGATGACCCACACGAATATCCCTGTCAACAAACTCACTTTTGAAAATCAGCCTCGAGATTGCGGAACACTCCCCACAGTTCATCCTTCTTGCGCGGAAATTCCATGCTAGCGGCCAGATTCGCGGTGGCTGGTGTTTTGGGCACTGGGGGGAGCACGGGTGTCGAAACGTTGAGTGATGCGGCTAGCTTTTCTAACGATGTTTTCGGCATCAGCGACTGAGGCGATGAGTTGCTGGGAGTACTCGATCCATCGAATCGGCTCTGAGTAACGACAGCAACCATGGGGCGCCGCGGGCGCTTGTTCAGTATAGTTCTCCGTCGGGTGGGAGCCGCGCTTTCAGATTCGGTGCCCGAGTCCGACTGCAGACTCGATCGCGATGATCTGGATGATGCTACCGGCGGATTCAATGTCGATTGCTCCTCCGTCCGCAGGGACCGAAGCCGAGAGCTCTTCCCGGATGGAGGCGAGTTCGACAACCATGGTTTCCGGGCCAAACTGACGAGTCTCCCTGACATCGATCGAGCTTTGGAGGGACGGGCTACCGGCGACGGGGGTCTCGTTTCGGTGGGTTCTTTGGCTGGTAATGAGGTCGCTTCTGAGCCGGTTGTCGAGTCGGACAAGTCCTCCGCGGATACAGTGAACCGCGAGACGGCAATGGTGGGCTTGTTCTTAGAACGGATGGAAGTCCGTCGCAAGATATCCTTACCCGCTGCTACATCCTCTTTTGACGGTGAATCCGACTGGGTGGGATGTGTGAGATCGGAGAATGTTCTTCGGAGGCCAGGGTGAGCGGCTGCTTGTGCTGCCGCGAGGTCAGGAAGGTGGTTGTAACTGGCGGCGTGATTGAGAAAGGCATGTTCGTCATTGGGTTGAGTCATGATAATTTCGGAAGAAGACATGGCCGTGGTTCGTTCGTTCGGGTTATAAAACGGTGACTGTAAAGGGCCCTCGAAAGATGCACATCTCCCCTCCAGCAGAGAATTGGATCGAAGCTCAGGTGGACGGTTGGGAGGCCAGCTCCTCTAGGTACAGCAACTGCACGACACACGAGATCAAACCATGCGCTCAAAGACTTTTCTCTCCTAGCATTAAAAGTAGCGATTACTGCAAGTGGGTTGCTGGAAACAAGGCGCGGAGGCTGTGGAGGGGAGGGCGGGCTGGCGATGGATTATGGCGGTGCAGGCAGAACGTCCGGGCAGGCAGAAGAGGAACAAGCGAATACGACAGTGGTGGATCACCGGGCGCTCGAGCTGAATGTTCTCCTGAGAAGCTGAAATTTCGAGGCTCGACAATCTGTCAGACAAATAGACAGGAATTAGTCAACGCTGGCAATGGTGACAGAGAGCTGCGCGCGCTGTCGTTTTAGCGGACGGGGAAGAATTGCGGCGTTTCGGGGGGGTCGGGAGGCTGGAGTATAGCGGCGGAGAAGTGGATTGAGCGAGGGGCATGGGTTGGACGCCGTGGTAACGAGGGGGAACAACAAATTTGTCTAGGAAACGACAGGGCTGGGGGGAGTGCGAAAGCGAATGGAGATGTAACGAGAAAGCGAAGACGATTTTAAAGAAGTATGGTGGTGGAGCAGGAGAAGTTTAAACAAGAGAGAGAGAGAGAGAGAGAGCGGATAAGGGAGAGAGGGAGATGAAGAGGGAGAGGGAGGGGAGCAGCCTGAGAGCGAAGGGGAGGGACGGACAGGAGAGAGAGAGTGAGTGAGTGAGTGAGTGTCAGAGAGTAAGTAAGAAAGGGAAAGGGAAATCCGGGCAGCGCAACAGGCGGGCTTCAAGGCAGAAATACGGGTCTCTTACAACGCCAACAATCCCCTCCACCGTGAGATTGAGTTGTTTGTCTCTCTCGATTTCTAATCTTCTTCTTCGTCTCTTCGCCTATAATTTCCAGAGATTGGGCGCAAAGAGGGGACAGCGAGGGGAGAGGCAAAGAAATTTCAAAGTGAAGCGTCCCTTTCAGCTTTCTTTATTTCGGGCCCGAGAACAGCAGCAGCAGCAGCAACAACAACAAAAGTAGCAATAGTGATCGCAACAACAAAAGCAGACCAAGACGAGGGCGAAGAAAGGACCGACTCGATTGAAGATGGGACTTCCTCCACGTTTAAGGATCCAAAGGGAGAGAGAGGTTCCAGCCTGTGGATGTCGAAGCCGTCTGTTCCTGAATTAGGTTTGTGGTTTGTGGTTTGTGATTCAATGTGGGAGGAAGGACGATGATTTTATTATTATTTTTATTTGGATTTATTATTTTTCTCCCCATTTCCTAGCTGCATCGGATGGTGGTTGAGTGATGATGAATTGAGATGAACCGAACTGACATGAGTGTCCTGCCTCGTCCTGTCCTGTCCACAACGCATGATTGATTGATTACTTCTGAATCGATTGACAACAAGGTATTGATACCAGCCTGTTGTAACTTGCAACTCGACTACGTACCCCTACAAGCCCACCTCGTCTCCCCACCCCAGGGCAGACCACTTCCAACCCTGGATCTAGGAATCGTCTTGGTGAAATGATAGTCCTCGTATCCTCCTCTTTGATTTTGTAATACCCAACATCATCATGATGATGATTACTCATGAAATCACACCCTTGTGGAAAAGCCAGTCTCAATACCTATAAATACCTGGAATCCCTGGAAGGCGACTTAACTCCCTCCCTTCCCTCCCCCTCCAGCCTTGCATTCTGGGGGAACGGAATCTTTCAATAATCGTTGTCATGATGAATCACCCTACAGAAGGGGATTGACTCTGTCGGTACAGTACTCTTGCTATGAATAACTACACTAGCTATCAGTAGGTTCGACCCCAAGGGACCAATGCTTAATTTTTGCGTTCTGATGAAGACAATAGGACTATACATGCAGTAGATCGGTCGATAGGGCATGTACTGTACATACTGTACATACATACGAGACGATACCATACAGCAGCCCAGCATTTCTGTCCCCATCACTACTCAGTGAAAAGTGGATGCTGCTGCTGCTGCATGCACGTCCAACCGACAGAGAAGAGGTGTCTAGAGATAGTCAGATATAACTTACTTTGTGAGGTAATAGTTGGTGGTGTAGGTGAGAGACTGCTGACGGTTTCCTTCTACTGTAGTCGCCTACCAACCAGGTTATACATAGTTATCTCTACTGCGTACAGTACCGAGGATACTGGCTACTCCATACTTCCGGTATGGCGACAACGAAAAAAAAGACCAAGGACCCTGGAGCTAGAAAGGCCAAAACGGATTCAACCCTATATGGGAAGAGGGAGGGGGGGCCAGAGGACAGGGACAGGGACAAGGAAGAGAAGGGGAAGGGGGGGCGCGGACAACCGGCGTGAAACCAACTATGAGTAATGGATCGCGCGTAGAAAAACTTGGCACTGCCAAATCTCCCGTCCAAAAAGTAGGCCAAAACAGTAGAAAAGAAAGAGGATCCTTAAGGTGTGCACGGAGTCCTGTACCTTGGCTCCTGTCATGATGCAATCTCTCCTATAAATAATGTCTCCTCTCCTACGGCGGTATGGAGTACAGTACCTACGAGTCCTCTGGTTGTTTCCCTGTCGACTTGGCTACTACTCGTACTAAGCCGGCGTTGCTTTGCCCCATCCGGGCCCCATAAAACCTACCGACCCCATCGTGTTGGTCCCCAAATGGAGATGAGACCATTCTATCTGGATCGTCTCTCATTCTACTACCGTACTCATCGTCTCCCCTGATTCTTCAGCAATGTCGAAGGAAGGGAACGGATATACTGACTCAGGTGCACCTAATCTAATCGTTATCCTTGATTATCATTGAAACAGTGGCGGATTCCTCTGCGCAATCTGGTTTATCCCCGAGGAATGTCGCACAGCCATAATCGGTCCACCGGGAGACCACCGTCTGCATTCCAGGATTGTCTTCGGTCAACGTCAGGCGGTGGGATTGAATGCAGGTGAAGTGTGTGACAGTTACAAAGATAGTGAGCTGCTTCATGGGTGAGTGAACTGGCTGGCCGAAAGAGCCAGCAGCAGTCTTGCAGCACTCCAGCCACCCTAAGTTATAGCCACCTACCGGCCGAATGGGATGTCTCTCTCGGTTCAGGTTCGTCGTGTCTCATGTCGACTAAGGGATCGACTCTGCAGGCTGGGTGTGTTCGGTGGGTATGCCACTAGATCTATTTAAACCTTGATAAAACCTCAGGATGAGATGTTGTCAACATATCGACTGTGCATTGGCTGAGCGAAGAGACTATTGCACCATAGCTTGGTGTTTCTCCTGCGCACGGGGAAGTCAAACCCTTCCGACGACGAGTAAGAGTTTTTTTTTTTCTTTCTTTCTTTTTTGCTTCACAAAAAAAAGTGTCTATCAAAGTAAACTTTCGACAAAGAAGGGAAAACCCAGACTGGATGATCTGTAACCGAAGCTAAGAAACACAGCTGGGAGAGCGGTCTGAGAGTCGTGCTGGAGCTGTCATATCTCGTCCGGCACCCGATGAAGAACAAGAACGACCACTCCCCTCCCCCCCTGCGTCCAGTCCAATTCGACAGATCTCATCTGCAATGCTTCTCATCCTTATTCTTTGGTGGATGGATGATGAAATTCGATTGCGTGATGCATCTCTTCTTTGAATTCGCCCGATGCAGACGGGGATAACACGTTATTGATCTGCTGCCCTTGACTCAAGCCCAAATGTAAGCTGTAAGGTAGGGGGATGTGCATCCCTTGCGAATCCGAAGCGAGGTACGTATTCCGGTAGTTAAGGTAGTCGGTGTCCGGCGCCCATGTGCCCTTCTGGATGGGCTGGCTGGCTGGCTCCAGCTGTGTTTGACCCTTTGCACACGTCGCACGATGGGGTCATCAGTGCAGCCGGCCATTCTTATCCCGACGAGTTCGTATCAGGTTTGTCGGGCGGGGAACAATGGGGACGTGTGCGCTTTCTTGTCTCAAGTATTCCAGTAGTTACTTGGTTTTGCCTTTTTCCCACATAGTACGGAGTACAGTACTTGGTACGGAGTACGACTCTACTTTATCAATCGGGTCGGATCGATCAATTCCGCCCTACCGCCACAACCTAGTGGCCTTAGGCTCGCAAATCTCTGTTGCCTAGCCCTGCTCCGGGGTAATGCCCAGTGGCTGGCTTGAGGCTAACGGGGCTGGTATAACATGATCGATACCCTCCAGTGCACCTCGTACGACCCATCCATCCATGACTGCACATCCGAATTCAAATTCAGGTTCAAAGAAAGAAAAAGAACTTCATATGCTCCAAATAGGTTTTAATTTACAAAGTGACCTTCGGAGGCACAACAACCGGGAGACAGCTCATCACATCGGTCTCATCACGTTTGCCCATTAGCCCCGAGATATCCTTCTATCTTGCCGTCAAGACAAGCAACCTAGTGGGCAGCGGGAGTCTCCTCCTCCTCCTCGAACCAGCTCTCCTCAGCGGGGGCAGCCTCACCAGCGGCGGCCTGACCCTCGACCTCGACCTCCTGGCTCTCGTAGGACTTCAGCTCACTGGCAAGGTTGGCCTCCTCGGGGGACTGGGGAGCGGCAGGGGGGGAGAACTTCAGGACGTGAGCATCGGCATCACCGGGCTTGACGGGAGTGGGCTTGTAGGCGCGGAGTTCACGGAGGTAGAGGTCCTGAACAGGGTCGGCTGCGAAAGAGAGAACGTTAGACTTGCGTCGTGGGGAGCACGCCGGGTCGAACATCGCGAGGCCAATGCGACTACACGACCAGTTCCCGAGAGTCGACAACGGCGGCAGAACAAGGGAATGGATCACCTACCCTGACGGATGGCGGAGGTCAGGAAAGTGCGGCGGGCAACAGAAACCTGTTGCCGAGAGACGCGGGTGAAGAGAGAGCGCTACCAGAAAGGGTCAGTTCACACGGAGGAGGGCTATACCGCCAACCACGGAGGGAATATTGCGGTGAACTCACGGAAGCTCTGAGAGACTGGGACATCATCGCGACGGAGAGAAGGGGGAGATAGACGAGGGGAAACTCGAGGTGGGTGGGTTTCTGCGAGGAGAGCAATTGCTGTCGACCGTGATTGAAAGCCGATGTTGGAAGTTCGACGTTTGTTCGGGAGGCTTCGGCTTGGCGGGCTGAGTCAGCAGCGGCTGCGGCTCAACTGTCTTTCAGGTCAGGTCAGGTGCTTTCTGCCTGCAATCCTCCGTTTGCTTACCTGATTCTCCTCTCTCACTTCACTCTCGTCCTTTTCGTTCTTTGTCCCTCAACCTCCCAACTCCCTCCCTCCCCTCCTCCTCCTCACTCCTTTCCCCTCCTCTTGGACAGGTCTGTTTCCACCACCTATCCGGCCTCTCTTGTCTGAGAATCCGACACGTCTACGTCGCTCTGCTCGTTTCTGGTCTCCCCGATCATAACGTGCAGCTGCTACCTGTCAGGTTCTGCGGCCCATTTTTCCGTGAGACTGTAATCGTTCACGGAGACCTTGACTGGTTCATCGCGGTCGGACAAGCTTGGCCTCAAGGCGTGCGAAGACCCTCGAGTGACGGAGATTGATTAGTGACGGCACCTCCGCTGGGAACGTGCTATCTTGAGTTGGGGAACTGTTCGCAGGACGAAGAGTCCTTTACCTGCTCTGAAAGGTAAAGATGCATCAGTTCACCGTGGAATTTGATCCCATCTCTGAGGTGTAGGCAAGGTGTCGGTGGCAGCTGGTCTGGTAGTGGCCCTGCCTGCTCATCGTCCAAGCCCATGTCTAGTCCTCATATCCTCCTTCTGCTGGGAGTTGTCTTCATCTTGCTTGGAAAGGGTTTGCAGCAGGCTAACATGAGAACGAAAGCCAGTGAGACGCAGAGACGTGACTTGCTCGCGAGACATCACGATCCGCGCCGCTGCTCCCTTTGCGTTGTTGCTGGAGAGGATTTGAATCCTCTGTTGACGAAGAACAGTCGCCACACTGTTCTCGCCGCTTTACATTCGTTTGTGTGCGCGCAAACATAAGCCGCTCTACTGCAGGGAATCCGCGAAAGCCGAGCCGGCGCCAAGCCCACAGTCCATCGCAGAGAACACGATACGATCAGAGAAAATGGCCACCCAGAAAGCTGAGCCGCAATGGAAGAAGAATCTTTCCGCCCACATCATCTGCCCCGAGTGCAAAGAGGTCCCCCCGAACCTCGAGTTCCCCGGCTCTCACGAAACTGTCTGCGGATCCTGCGGGCTGGTGCTTGCTGATCGAGAAATCGACATGCACTCCGAATGGCGTACCTTTTCGAACGATGACCAGAACAACGATGACCCATCTCGTGTTGGAGACGCAACGAACCCGCTACTCAATGGTGACCAGTTGGAAACTCAGATTGCCAGCGGTGGCTCGGGTCGAGTGCGCGACCTCTACCGCGCTCAGAACAAGCAGTCGAGTGAGAAGGCCAACAAGGCCCTCCTGGCGGCGTACAAGGAAATTGGCGCGCTCTGCGACGGTTTCAATATTCAGAAGAACGTTGCAGACACCGCCAAGTATCTGTTCAAGATTGTCGATGACGCCAAGGCCTTCAAGGGTAAATCGCAAGACGTGATCATTGCCGGTTGTATCTTCATTGCGTGTCGTCAATGCAAGGTGCCCCGTACCTTTACCGAGATTTTCGCTGTCACGAAGGTCACGCGAAAGGAGATTGGACGCATCTACAAGGCTTTGGAGAAGTTCTTCACGGCTCAAAACCTCGAGCGGATCAACGCCGTGGTTTCGAGCGGTGGTGTCCCCGATCCCAACGACACCTACACCGCGACCACCTCCACCAAGCCCAGCGATCTCTGCAACCGTTTCTGCAACCTTCTCGATCTTCCCTTCCAAGTCACCAGCGTCTCCTCTGCTCTCTCCGATCGCGTCACCACCATGGGCGACCTGGCTGGCCGTTCCCCTCTGTCCATCGTGGCCGCCTGCATCTACATGGCTTCGTACCTGATGGGCCACGGCAAGTCCGCCAAGGAGATCTCCCAGGTGGCCCACGTCAGCGATGGCACCATCCGTGGCGCATATAAGCAGCTTTACGCCGAGCGTGAGCGCTTGATCGACCCCGAGTGGATCAAAGAAGGCAAGGGTGACCTGAAGAATCTGCCCGCTAGCTAGATCGTCATGTCCTCCTCCCCTCTGATTGAAGCAAAAGCGTAAGGAAACCCCGGGCAGCCGCAATTTGCCTTCAAAATTGCTCTGATCTTTCCCAACTTTAGCGTCCCCCCATCCTCCTCCCAAATCCCCGTATATCTAGTTTCAGCCTTCAACCACTGGTGTACGCCTTCAGACCAAAATAAAAAAAAAAAGACAAAAAAAATCTCAAATAAAAGATACCCTTTTTTTTCAGAGAAACATTCCCCGTACTTTCTTATTCTCAATCTCTCCCTCTCCCCTTCCAGTCCCTCCCTCCAGATTTTCCATTAGCAAAGAAGAGCTAGTTAATGAAGTGTTCATAATATATGCTTTTGTTGCTATGATTACCGCAAATGAAACATCATTTTCTATTCCCGCGACAGTTTAACATCGCTCTGTGTGTGTCTCTTTTTGCTTTGAGTTGCTTTGAGTTCCTTCTTGCTTTGAATCGCTTCGAGTTGCTCTGAATTGCTATGACTTCCTTCCGAGTAAGCAATCGGTCGATGCCATCCATTTCCCTTCCCTTGCCCTCCCCTTCCTTTCAGTATCGTATCCTCATGCTCTGACCAAAGCATGACGTCCAAGTTAGATCATGCCTTTTAACGTCTTTCTGCGGGTTATTTGCTAGTCAGCCAGTCAGCCAGTCATTCAGTCATTCAGTCATGTGGATAACTATATATAACCGATAACTACTTCCGTTGGTCTTGAAATGCCAAGCAGACTCGGGTTTATTGAATGTGTGTGTGTGTGTACTGTGCTGTACTGTATATCCACCGGCCTACATGTAGGGTAGGTACCTGGGTATTGGTGGATTGTGCTGTTGATCTGGAGTAGGTATCCGTATGTTCTAATCACTAATTCTGGATTTTGATATGTTGCTATTGGGGGTGGAAGGCAGCAGAATTGGGAAGGGAAGGGAAAGGAAGAGGGGAACCTTGAAGACATTGGGCTCTACGGCTGGTACAGTTCTGGAACTGTATCTGGGATAAAGCTGGCGCGGTGCGGTGCGGTACTATGCTGCTATACGAGGTAAATGGCGCGATGATAGGGGATACTAGTCATGGATTTTGAGGTGTGTTTAACGCAACGCGAGCTGCCGGCAGGCGAGAAGTATAGATGCGATGCTGATTTCAAGATGGCTGCATAGTCTGTGGAGACTTCATCTATTGTTGTGTATAGATAGGTATGTGGCTACATACGGACAGGTACACTTTTCAGTAATGCAAATTGGCTGACTACTGCCTACCTTGTACGCAAGGGTGTGTTTTGGTTTGCTTGCTGCTCCTGTTTGTTTTGTACACGGGTCCTATCAACTAGTATTGGGTTCATAAGACAAACAGATACACACTAGCACACGGCAAAGGAAAAGAGATGATTAAGATACTGGGGCAAAAACACTGCATGCGATTGTCTGATGATTTACTGTCGCCCGTCCATACAATGTCTCAGTTGTCGAGGGTCTCGCCAATGTCACCCTCCGACGGCCTTTTACCGTCAGCAGACGCAGAGAGTCGTGCTGCGATGTCGTCGATGGGCGATCGGTCAGGCGGGGACATGATGGTGGGTTTCCCGGCGGATAGATCGTCTGTGGTGACAGGATCGACGGCAGGGGCCGGCGCGGCCGTGCTGTGGTCGTCGGCCAGCGGGATGGGGTGCTTCGCTTCGGTGAATGTCGGTTCCGGTACGGGCTCGGGTAGAGTCTCTTGCGTCGGGCTGACGTCTGCTGGAGCTACAGATGGAGCGACGGCGCCGGGCGATACTGGCTCGTCTTGGGCTTCTCCTTTCTCGAAAGCGGCGGTGGGAGCTTGGGGCTCAGCCGGTTCACCGGCAAGATTCTTGGCGATGGGAGGTGCCATGGCTTCCGGAGAGGTTGTCTGAGGTGTCGGGGCTGTGGTCGGCTTCTCGTCACCGACGGTCAGGGTTCCGTCTTCACCCATTTGCCACACGTTCCAGGTCTCTGTGATCTTGACCTCGGGGATGGTTGGTAGCCTTGCGGGCGTCTTTTCGACAGCTGGCTTCCGCCTGGCGGGACCACGCGCACGGCCTTTCCGGGCATCACTGAGCGGTACTTTCTCGGCTGGCGCCTCCTCTTCCTTCTTCTCCTGTGGCTTAGGGGGCGCTTGTGGGCCGAGCTGGAGCCGCGAGTTCAAGTCGGACAGGAACCCGGCCTTCAAAGCGGCAATCTTACTTCCACCGGGCCGTGCGGGAATGGCTGGCTTGGGTTTAGCGGCAACATCCTTGGCCTCTTCAGGGCTGGCGCGCGAAAGAGGTTTGGAGGGCCGGGCCGGAATTTGCGGCTTCGGTCTGTCAGGAATCGAGGGAGGATGTCGCTTATCTGTAGGGGAAGTGACCGGCTTCGAGGAAGCATCCACCGGAGGGGCCTGTCCCGGGCGCTTTAGCGGCCGAAGGGGAATGCTGGGCTTTGAGGGAACCTCCGGGCTCTTGACCTCTTCATCTGCCGGTTGGACTGTCGTCACCAGCGTATGACTTTCAGGTGCATCTTCCCAGATATCTCGACTCGGAAATCGCTGCTTAGAGATCTCCGGGCGTGAAGGCCTGCCTTCCCGATCGTCCGTTCCCAGAATGTGTGAAGCGACTTTGTGAGCGTCAATCTGAGGCGCCTGGCTCTTACGATTCGACTCCTGCTCCGGTGTTTCAAAAGCCTCCTCCTTGGGGATGTCCGGCGTAGATACAGTGGCAGATAATTGCAAGCTGTTGGGTGAGTCTTCCCAGATGTCTTGGCTGGGAAACCGGTGCTTCAATTGATCCGGACGCTGCTTGAAGCGCTCTGCGGGAGTGATGGGCTTCTGGTCCTTAGACTCGTCCTCGGGAAAAAGAGGTTCGTATTCCTCGACATCCTCAAGCGGCGTATGTGTGCCCTCGTGCTCGTCACGCGAGTTGTATCTCGCCAGAGCTGGCATACCGCTGTGAATACTAGCCGTCCTGCTGTTCGACCGGCTGTGGGTCACGCTTGGAGTGCGGCTTCTTCCTTCATAGTCTACACTGCCATTTCGGCCAAAAGTCGGCGAGACAGCCGGGTGCTGGAAGGCAGACTCCGGGCGTACTTCGTCAGCTGCCAGGATAGACTCCGCCTTTTCTTCCTCGACATCCAAATTGTGGGTGAGCTCCTCGGGACCGGGAGTCTGAGCGAAGCCGTCCGGATGGTGCAAATGGTGATACGGTTCGTCGACATGAATGACCCGGGAGTGAGTCGATTTGTCGTCGGTTTCCTGTTCTACAGCAGTTTCAGGCTGGGCTTGCGCATCGGTAGCCGGAAAACTCGAATTGCGTAGAGGTGACTCAACAGCGAGTCGAGAATTACGACGTGAGTCGAGTCCCGGTGACGCTAGCTGATGTGTGTATTCGTCTGAGGCAATGTAGCCAACCTCCTCATCTGGAGTACCCGCCAGGGCAGGGGATGTACCTGTACGTCACATAATCAGAAACGATCTCCCATTACCAAAAGACCTGCAAGGACTTACCAAGCCCAGAACCATTCACTGCAGAGCCACGGACAATCTTGTTCAGATCGTCGCTGCTCAAGGCCCAGTCGGGCCGCGGTGTACCAACCCCTGGGCCATATTGGCCTTGCTCCTCTCGGACGAATTCTTCGGGGTGCTTCTCATACCAGGCCTTCTCGAACTTGTCGTTTGAAGGAACACCATGACCATGCAGACCGTAGCTGCCAGGAGGCAGAGATGCCTCGCGGCCACTGCGAGTGCGGTGGTGGTTGCGTCCAGAGCGTTTCTCCTGGGGTTCGGCGAGGTAAGGGCTGGGGGATGGAGCTTGCACATCGCCCGCATTAGGGTACATCGGGACTCTCTGTCCGATCTCCGGAATGCCATGCTCCTCTCCGTGGAACGACTGTCGACGATCCGCGGACATGGTTGAGGAGTCACCACGTGAGCCGCTGGCTCGCGAGTGCAGTGAGCGGGTAGGCCGCTCGGAATGATCGTCATTTGAAGGAGATGGAGCACGCCCCAAGCCTGCTGCTGCAGCCTGACGGGAGTCTGTACGTGTCACAGCCTGCACCCTTGCCTTGGCGCTGGAAGTGGGTAATGACGGTCTTGGCGCATGAAGCTTTAAATCGCTTCCCACGTTCCGGGTCTCTGGCGGTGTAGCCTGCTGAGCCTCTGACACATTGGCCACATCCAGGTCCTGGTATTCAATGCCCTCTTGACCGAGCGAAGGTATCGTGACACTCGGGGGTCTCTGGGGTAGGTCATTCGAGGTGGTTCGTTTCAGGCCCCATCCGTTGGGCAAATCGTTCAGAGGAGACGGGGCGTAGCTATCGGGAAAGGGAGATACAGAGCGCTCAGCACGATTGGACGGACGAGGAGGGATCGTGGGGCCTTCTGCTGAGGCGGGTGCAAGACCCTGTTGTGGAGACCTCGACGGCCGCGGAGGAATGGCGGGGGCTGCTTGTGTAGTCATGGCTGGTTGCTAGTAAGGCAAGTGACAGATTGAATCTGAGTTCGAAGATCAACTCTGGCAGTCAAGTCAGTTGATTACGGATCTATAGGGCACAGAAATCCCCAGTCACATAAATCCGCGCGAGGGTGCGTGTCAATGGTTGGGCTGGTGACGACGCTAGCACAGGGTAGCTTTGCATCGGTCACTGTATATGCACCCGGTTCGCCATGGGAAGGGGGAAAGACAGTACGTTGTCTATATTTGGACGGGCTTTTGAGACAAGATCGGAATTCATAAGAAGGATATTGAGATGTGAGCGGGGAGCAATCTAGGGTAAGGAATGTACATATTCTCCAAGTGAGTAGATAAGGTAGACGTGCGATGCGTGGCCGATCACCTTCTTTCACCGTTGACATTTCCCGCCAGCGCCTTGACAAAGACATGAAAGATTTGCGAGATTGGAGGGGGCACAGTCGATTTTTGGGGACTTTGATGAGAGGAGTAGAAGTGATTCGCTTACCGGCGAGGTTTGAGGGTGGGAAAAGAAGTATGCGAGGTGCTATGCTTATGCGGGCGAGCTTTGGAGGGAGTATTGGCCCAAGTAGACGGAGACCAGATGGCGTCAATTGGATAGGCAGTAGGGAAAGCGGAGTCGAGCAATTATAGTAGTAGGAATGAGACTTGAGGATCGAAGTATGAACAAGGAATCAGTAGATAGCAGTAGAGGGATAGAGTATAGACGAGAGGAACGTTTAGGGGAACGTGGGAGGAGGATTCAGGGAGGAGGAGGAAGTTCAGCAGAAGCCGAGGGGGAGGAAAGATGGGCAGAAGATATGAGTATGATGTATGACCTGTACTCCGTAAAGTAAATTACTCCCGCAAAGTGGCCGTAACGGAAGACTAACCGCATTCTTTCCTGCCACGGCCCACCGCCCCATCGCGTGACGTTCTCCGACGGCGCCCCAACTGTATCAACTGCTGTATCAACTGTATGCGCCCTTGTCAGGCTGTGAGCCAACAACCTTGGTTGGTTGCAATTACGCCTGTACTCGATCGAGTACAGTAACTACTAACTACCTAGTAGTTCAACACTTTGAACCTTGAACCTTGAATTGCCAGGACCAGGTCCATTTTTTAGGTTTACCATTTTTCCTCTCGATCCATTTCTATCTACCCTTCCGTCATTGGTTCTGGATCTTCGTGTCCCTTCAGATCTTTCTTTGAGATACCTGCCCGTTCCACCATCGTGAGACTGATTAGAAGCTCCATTGTATCGAAAGGTCATTGGATAGAGCCAATGGCCCGACCAGATAGTAAGAAGTCATCAGTACATCCATCAGCCAGAGGACCCTCGAATAATTCTACCATCGTTGGCATCGTATATCTCGAGGATTTCCACCGTCTCTACCGCCTGCTTTGTCCACTCCTCGTGCGCGGAACATAGGATTGCAGGATAAGAATCGGCTACCAGGCATCTTTAGTAAGCCCAGCGATGAGCATCTAGTAACTATTCTTTGGTTCTGCGCCGGTGGCATCCACGAGAGCTCATTAATAGCTCATACTGACCAGCAGAGCTTGCGCCCCTTGCCCTCTCTCTCCCTCCCACCAGTCGAAACTTGGTATCAACCTGATGATCCGCCGGCGAACTAATTTGGCCCATTTCAACCGTCGCTAAATATGAACAGACGTAAAAACCCAAAAATCCCTCGCCCTATTTCGTGTGACAGTGGAGAGGACTGACTTGCGTGAAAACTGAAAATCCCTCTCTGCATTACACCTTACCCCATACTGAAAAGGAGCAGCGAGATAAAAAAAAATAATGCGGCCGGGCCAGACCATGGTCCAGATGAGCTGTGAGCCACAAGCGCCACGCTGCTGCTGCTGCTTGTGGTGGTAGTAGTAGTCTAGTGATTTGGTATGCGACAGCAGCCCCGGCTGCCAAGTACCTCGAGTACAATTTCAATTACACGGGAATATTAAAGGGTGTTTTCTATCCCTGGTCAGCATAGCTGCCAGTTGATAGGGACGATTCAGTTCCAGCTCCCGAAGTACAGTACTCTGTATCAAGCAAGAGCTTGCACCCCCTTTTCTCTGGCGCAAATGCCAATACTACGAGGACGTAGTAAAGTAACCCCTCATGTGGCGGTGCGGGCTGGCTGGCTGCCATGCACATGGGCCTGATCGCCCGTTTTAAGGGTTGTGGGATGTCGCACAGCTGATGTGCTGGGCGAATAAGGGAGGGAAGAACATGCAGAATATCCCTCATGGTGAACAGCTTCAATGGGTCACAGGAAAGTGTGCATATCATCAACCAGTCAGTCTGTTGCAGAGGCTTGGGCCTCTTTATTGCCAGCAGGCATTGAGAACTCCGATAAATCACTTCGGGAGTCATGATCACGCCGAGACAAAATAAGAAACTACTCGATTACACTGGGCAGAGTAAACTAGATACTCCGTATACTGTATGTATTTCGTACTTCGTATCGCATCCAAGGTGATTGTATCGACTTGGATGTGACTGGCCACATCCTCAGTAACCCCCTCTCAACCAAAACCCCACCAGCGCCGAGGCGGTGAACAGCCTGGACTCAACCGGCTCCACATCATGATTGCATCATGAAGCCCATCGCTCGCCGCCGTTCGCTTATCGTCCACGGGGGGTATCATCCTGGGCGTTTGCGATAGGCGGTTCTGATAAAGAAGGCTGCGAGATTAGTGGGTACCGACTGGACCCAACTAATGCTATGTAGCTTCTTATCGAGTTAGCACGTTGATAGAAAGGCCTCATTCTAGAATCAATACGAATTTTGCACATAATGTACGTATGTAGTTTCCAGAAACATACCCCAGTATCCAGTAGCCACTCGACTATATGACCTGTTACATCCATCAAAACCAAACTCAGAACACTCACCACACAACAGCTGCACCCCATCCTCCAAGTGCGCCTAGATCCATATTTCAACAACAAACCCCAACATATCACCAGATCCGACGTCGACTCTCCGCTTTGCACAGCACCGTAAAGTACTGTAAAGTACATGCTACCACCCCCCTTCCCTCCTCCCCACCCCCCGGACAATCCGATACGCATCTATCAGCGCCAAGTACCCTCCCTGCATGCAACAAAAAGACCACGAGGGAGAACTGAGAGACATACTCTAGTCTCTAGGCGCTGCACATCAACACAGACAATCCGGCCCCCGGCTCAATCAGCAAGGGACTCAGCTCCTGATGACTCGGACTCGAAGATCCCCGATCCCAGGGCCCAATCAGCGTGATTCCGGCGTTCTCTATCCTCGAAGCTACGGACGACACATGATAGGGGGACGGGGGCCCAGGATATCATCGATCGGTAAGGTAGGTTTGATTACTGTAGTTGCCTAGCCGGACAACGAAGCTAGTTACTTCCAAGGAGAATCTCGCGCAAGTTCAAGTCCCCCTCTGAGTCTCTACATCGCAAGGAGGAGGGGGACGGGGCTGCCCAGAAAACTCCATTGAACGTGATCTAATCATTCCAACTTATTCGTTATCCGTACATGCATGGATAGCGTCAGCACAGACGCCAACCGCGCCGCCGGAAGCGCGGGGTAAAACTGGAAGCCTTCTCTCTTACTCGATGAGGAGACGGAGGGGTAAAACGAGGGGAAAGGGGCAGAGGTATGACGTATCGATTTTGCCCCTGAGGATGCACTAGTGATCTTGTCCCTTAGGCATCCATTGTTGAAAACTGGTTGGACTTGTGGTTGTCGTTCGCACTAGTATCGTAATATGTGTGTGCGGCTGTAATGTGATAACTGGAGGTAGTTGTGTGCGACGAACAAAGCTACTCCGACGAGCATTGCTCGAACTCAACTCGACCGAGCTTGATCGCTGGCGATGGCACTGGCGCTGGAACGAAGCTTATTGAGTGGTTGAAGTCCGGCTATCGCATTCCCGTGGTTATATTGATGATGCATGATGCCGTCCGGGAGGTCAAGGGGAAATGCAAACAGCCGGGCAGGCCCTTTCAGGGCCAGGGCTGAGGTTCAATCGAGAGAAGGTTGCCCGAGCTTAGTCCCCTTTTCCTGGGTGACAGACTTTCCGGAGTATATGCGATTGGCCTTGGAAAGAGCAAATTTCATATTCATCGCCAGGATGCTGGTAGGTAGGGTATTCGCTGCGGTGAACTACTAGTTGTTACAGGTTTCATCTAAACTCATCACGAAAGACCTCAGCGAGGTAACAGATGCCAAAAACAAAGCAGACCGATACAAGGCAAGGTAATAGGAATGGCTCAAGCAAAGCATCAGCAGCAACCCAAACTCCAGCGAAGCTGGATTAGGTCTTGCAAAAAGCAAAGCAAAGCAAAGCAAAGGAGTGCAAAGCCCCTCCGTCGCAGCACGAACGCGATATCGGCTCATCATCGCATCACACTCAATTCCAGCCCCAAGAAGCCTTGCATTCCATGATTTGACTTTCTGACTAAATGAAGTCACTCTTCAGAATCAGCTTGTCGTTGACCTCGGGAGAATGCTCACATTGTATAAGTTGTTTTCTCCTTTTTGCGCAAAAGCCTACGGCCTCTACACAATCATCTGCGCGAGTCCTTGGCCACCCAGTGTCTTGCTGCTGACAAACTCTTGGCTCTTCACGGCCGCCAGCGCGTAGAAAATGGCCGCAATCAGGAGAACAACAGCCGCAGCAATCAAGCTGGTGGCATCCTTGAGCAGACTGAGAAACTGCACCACACTCATAACAGCGTACATGCCAGCACGCATCCAGTTGGTTGTAAACTTGCGGATGAATTCATCGAACTTCGGCGAGGTCGGGCAGATTCGGAGCAGGAAGGGTACTTCGGTGAATATGAGAATGAAGGCGGAAATACTGCACAATGCATGTGAGTTCCAGATTCCAGTTTTGCGGGGTACCAAGCCACTCACAGACACAGGACGCTGAAGATGATGATCACCGCATTGAAACTGAAGATATTGGCGATACCGAGAGCCAGGCATAGGATGATGCACACAACACCGGTCCTAGTTTGGATCAAATTAGCGCTTGTGGCCTGCAACGTCTCCCAGCTCCCGCTCATATATCGTGCTTCGATAGGGCTCCTCAGGTATTGCATGCTTGGTCGCTTTGGCAGGCGGGTGTTGAATGAGCTCCCATCACGGAGGCGCCAAGCGTCCATGCTGGGGGCCAGGCAGCAGTTATTCTTTCGCTTGCATTGTAGTTGCGAAGCTCCCAGCCGGTTGAATTATACAGAAGTCACTGGATAGAAAGAGCACGACATACCATTGACCGTAGATACCTAAGCGAACAGATGTTAGCTCTTTCTGTCTTTGAATCAGCCAAAGTGTAAACAATGCAGGTCCATACTGAAGTTTCTAGTGCGGAACTCCTCGGCGAGAGTCATGGTGGCGATCCAGTAATTTTTTTTGGCTCAGAAAGAGCTTTGTGTGGTAGAGGAGATGTAAGAAAGTAAGAGTGACCGGTTGTGCAATATCAGATAGATCTCTTTTATGCTGATCTGCAGTATCCTAGGTTGGGGAACGGGGTAGATTGTAGCGCGATTGACAGTTGATGATGGGGCCAGTTTGTCTATCCGACCGACCTTTCACCGCTCTGGCAGAACCGGGGCAGAATCCGGGCTCCCGCATTACTGCCACCCATGGTCGACGCTCCGCCTTCCAGACAACATAACCTCCTCAGCAAGTATTGCTTGCATCGATCTCTGCGCCGCGAAACTTGTCATTGTTTGCGACATAGCTCGCTGCCTGGTCCTTGGTACTGGTATATGTCCTGTCGTACATACTCTTCGGCCTCTGCATTCCCTACTTTTGACCCCAGACATGGAAGCCGTTTCCAGGCATAGCCGCAATGCTTCTAGATGTAAGGAGTCTCAGATGAAGTAGTGGTCGTCTCCCGCTAATGTATGATAGCTTCCCGACCTCGTAGTACGACAAAGGGTCCACTTGATCAGATAGACGAGTAAGCAGACTGATGTACTTTGTCAATGTCAAGGAGGAAGCTAATGAAGCCAGTCCACTCGGCACCGAAACGGTGAACACACTGAGGCAATCCTGCCCGGCAGCTCAAACTGAGCTGTCTGGTCTTTCCTTTGAGAATCTGGATCCACTTGCTCCTGATGATCTGCCACCTACCGTGGAGAAAGACCTCTCATTCCTTCTTCGCTATGAGATATATCACTCTCTGTCACAGCTGGACATCCCACATGCATTGCGCTCCGAATTCATCGTTCCAGCCTCCAGCGAGTCATTATCTTCGACTCTTCAAAAACTCGAGAAACTCCTGACGGAGGGCCATTTCTTACTGGCAGCTCATCTCAGTGGAACGATACTGGCGTCTTCTCTGATCAAACCCACAGACATCAAACGCATCTTTGCTTTGTTCTACACCCGGTTGGCATGCCTACAGCTTTCCGGGAATACCATCATTGCCGCACAGGAGTCTAAAGCTCTGGAGGACTTGACCTCTGCTTTTTACTACGTAGAGCCGCTACCTGATAAATCCGACAAAGATCCGAGCTATCCTCGCCATATTGTGCCATGGCCTCTGAGGGCCTTAGCCGTGCGACTTCAAAGTATAGGATTCGGCGACTCTCGAAGGGGCATTGGCGGTCTTTATGAGATTGGCCTGGAGGCAAGAAGGGAGATCTTGCGGGCAGATCTTGATCCGGCGGAGCGGCAACTCTGGAGGGAACGGCTCGCGGACTTGGGGATCCGGAACGTCAATGCACTGATCGAAATGGGCGATCTCAATGCGGCCAAACAGGCACTCTATAGTTTGCGCATGTCAGGCGTAGACAATGAAACCCGCAACGCAAGGAAGGCGCTCCTGTTGGTGTTGATCGGCGATCTTGACAGTGCCAGGCTATTGTGCAGCGAGGGCAGTGAAAATGAGCAGGGCTTCTTCAACGCCCTCTTCAGTATGGCTGAGGGTCAATATAGCACGGCAGCCGACGAATGGCGCAGTCTGCTGGAGCGCGAGCGCCAAAGACCTGACGAAGCCATTATCCAGCAGAACCTAGCAGTCTGCTTGTTGTACACTGGTCGACTGAATGAGGTAAGTCCCCTGGTGTGATGATAATGGATTGGCAACCAATGCTGACTATGCCTCTAGGCTCGTGAAGTTCTCGAATCCTTGATACAAAAAGAGCATTCATTCCCGAGCCTCGTGTACAACTTATCGACTATCTACGAGCTGTGTTCTGAGAAGGCTGGGAAGCTCAAAACAGATCTTGTCGAGATTGTAGCCAAACAACCAGTGACGGGAGTCCTAAACTTGGACCGGCCAAGTGCAGATTTCAAGATCTAATGTCAATCGATGACACAGGCCGCACAGTGTTGAAGAACCGTTCCAGCTCAACCCTCCTTATCCATGTGCTATGGCTAAACCAATTCAAGCATCTTACCCTATGCCAGACGCCATAACCTTGAATCACAATTCGCCGAGCCATGATATAATGATATAACAATACTTTTCGGCCATTGACCATCACAGAGCCTCCTTGATGGGGGTCAGATTGACGGTGGGTTTCTGCTTCGGCCTCCTAATGATAATCTTATCACCTTCTTTCTCCCATCCGAGCTTCTCCAATTCCACCAGCTTCTCCCACGTCAACTCCTTCTCTCCGGTACAACCTTCGGTGATCCACTTGCTATCGGCGTTGAGATAAGCTTTACCCACAGCTTTGAGAGCGTGCCTTCGAACCCGTTCCTCAGCCCAGTTGAGGACGGCGCGCATGTTGGAATCTACTCCCCTACGGATGCGCCAAAATATAACCCAGTCATCATGTGCCAGCGCGTGCAGGACCTCATCGACCATGGACGAATTGAATGCATATTTCCTGCGCGCCCGCGCACGCAGCTCATAAGCGGCACCCAAGTCCTGTTGCCGGCAAGCAGAATCAAGGATCTGGTACGATATCACCTCCTTTAAATCGGAGTCTGGAAGTGGATGCGATGGAGTGTGGAGCTCTTCCATGAGGTATCGGAGGGAGGGAGTATACGATGGAGGATGTTGGGCTCGGATGGCGATCTTAACGGAGAACAGGTGAACCTGCTGGGAGAAAATGATAGGGATTGTGGATGCAGTGGCCAGGACGGCCTCCCGGAGCTTTCTGAGGGAGAGCAGAATAGTAGATAACTCTGATGCTGCCGAAGGAGTGGATGTCCCTGTTGGTCTCGTGGGTAAGGAAGCAGGCGGGTTCTTGGTTGCGTCATCCGAGGCGCTCCTGGGGAGGGATGTCCAGGCAGCGTCCATGTCCTTCGCATGAAGAGCGCAAAACGCCATATATCTTTCAACAATACTTTTATAATATTCCTTTTGAGCTTTGTGGTCTAGCAATCTGCGCATGTCAGCCCGGGCGGAGGTGGGGGGTTGGAAGGCGCGCAGGCGTACTTCCGGTCTCCTTTAGATACGAAGCCCACCGTCTCCAGGGAGTCTGCCACGGGCTTCAGGCGACTCCCGGAAGCTTTGCGTATCGGGGGCGCTCGACTAGTCATATTCAAAGGAGCGACGAGTTGTGAATAGCCGGTTGGAGTGACGTTTTGAGGGGAAGAGGGAGACGGAGTGGGGATGAAGCTACTGTAGCTACCGTAGCTACCGTATGCTATCGCGGTGGTGTTTGCAGGGTTTGCGCTGTTTGTTTTCTTGTCCTTTTGCCCCCCCAACAATGCCCGAGGAAGCGGCGAGTTTCCGCTGAGTCCCAACCGACTTTCTTGTCCTCATCAACCTCTTTTTTGGGTCGCGGTGATTTTAGCGGGGGTTCCGGTCACTCCTGGGCTATTTGGTCTTGGAAGCGAGCCATATTGGGTATTCAGTTCAGGGTCACCGGTCCCCTTCTTCCCTCGCCAACCTCGTCGACAGAATTGAAACACATCCCGGAATCCATCTGTCATTGTACGTACATACCCACATACAGTATCCGCAGGCTGCATGTGAAGAAGATGGCCCCTCGCCAGCGTCACTCCACTCACGGCCAAGAGAAGGTTCTGGGCACGAGTCAGCCTGCTGCTGTGGCAGCTGCTGTGCTGGAACAGCCTCCCAAAGTCCTCAAGAAGCTGCTTCACTGGGAGGAGCTCCCCCATTGGCAGCGCGATAACCAGCACATCCATAGCGGGTATCGGCCGGCCTCGGCTTCCTTCCTTGTTTCCTTCCAGTCCCTGACCTATCTTCACAATGAAACGGTCAATATCTACACGCACTTGCTGCCATCGTTGCTGGTCGTGCCGGCGGCCTTCGCACTGTATCGGGCACTAGCCCCGCGGTATGAAACGGCGACGCAGGCGGACGTGATCGTCTTCGGCTGCTTCTTCGCCGGGGCGGCCTTTTGCCTGGGCATGTCTGCCACCTACCACACGATCTCGAATCACTCGCCCATGGTGGCGCGCATCGGGAACGCGTTCGACTACGCGGGCATTGTGGGGCTGACGGTGGGCAGTTTCATCCCCAGCGTTTACTTTGGCTTCTACTGTCAGCCCGCGCTGCAACGGCTCTACTGGAGCATGATCTGCACGATTGGCCTTGGCTGCGTCGTCGTCTCGATCTTTCCTCAATTCCGGACCCCAGGCTGGCGACCGTTCCGGGCGGCGATGTTTGTCGGCATGGGCCTGTCAGCGGTGTTTCCCGTGATCCACGGATTACGCCTGTACGGGCTGGGGCAGATGACACGCCAGATCGGACTCGGCTGGCTGGTGCTCCAGGGTCTCCTGTACATCCTGGGGGCAGCGATCTATGCGGCTCGGGTCCCCGAACGCTTGCGACCCGGTCAATTCGATCTGTGGGGAAGCTCCCATCAGATTTTTCACGTGCTGGTGGTCTGCGCCGCAATTGCTCATCTGACCGGGTTGCTGAAGGCGTTTGATTACAGACACAGCGGGTTCGCCGCCAGCTGTGCTTGGAGCTGACGGTGATTCGCCGGCAAGGGGATCTAGGATCGCACAAGGGGCCCTTTGCTGGTCACCATCTTCGGAAATCTAGCCATAATCGACTGATTCTTTACCCCTAGTACTAGAGCGCAAAGATGAGCTGAGAAATAGACGCTGACGTCAAAACACGGGATACGAGACATTTTGTCTAACAATTCAATTTCCACATTTCTTTGCTGACCATTGCAACATTTTATAACTGTGAATTTCTGAAGGGTATCTATTGAGATGTTCACCGCTTGCCCTGCGACATTTCAAACCGGGCAGGCGAATCCCGCATTCAGTCTTACAGCTCACATGGTATGCGCTGGCTTGCATACCGATATTCTTTTCCAGTGCTGTTGGATGCTACGTCAGAGACAATAGCCTTTTTTCGCCTTACAGTTTGGATATCTTGATTCATGCAGAATTTGCATTAAAGTTGGGGGGAGGAGTGAGAGAGGGTGAACTCCCTTCCCGCCCACTGACTGGGCCTGCCGAACAAACGAAGGCAATGTTGCACTTGAGCTTATTATCTTGTTGGACCTCTTACGTTAGAAAATAGACGAGTGTTATGGTTGGGCCGCTGTGGTGGCCAAGCAACGATGGCCGAAATCGAATCTGGCAGATTGATTTTGATTTTCTTTTTCTGTTTTTGGAGTGTGTATTTTCTTTTCCGACAAGTAAGATGATAAAGAATGTCGAAACAAAAAATAATCCACGGGCAGGTCAGTTGGACACACACATGTCCAGAAACCACGACGACGTTCAGATTCGCGAGGGCCCCCGGCTTTTCTTCTTCCCTTCCCCCCATGCGAGGTGGATCAGATGGAATGATTTAAGGTGTCACGACGGCTGACTTCATCTGCGCTTACCATTCATCTAGGGATTTCGCGATACGAAGTTCAAGTCTTGCAGGTTTGGGCCAGCCCGCACCCAGCCAGTCAGTTCGATTCGATTTAGTTCAGTCAGTCAGTCAGTCAGTCAGTCAGTCAGTCAGTCAGTCAGTCAGTCAGTCAGTCAGTCAGCCCCAGCCCAGCAGCAGCCAGCAGCCAGCAGCCAGCAAACCAAGCAACGGGGAGCCCAGCGTTAGGGGGAAGGGTGTATGAAGACTAGCACTGTGGGTGGTCGATATAAATAAGAATGCGCGCGCGCTGCTGCTGATGGGATTCAAGCTTATATTATACTTTTCTTGCTCGGAAAAGCATATGAAGTAGATATAAAAAGGTGATCTCCCCGATTTCAGTTCGATAACTTTCGAATTGAGAAATCGCAGGCTTCTCCCCTCTGCTTGGCAAACTGTCGCGCTGCCTGTATTGTGTGTATATGTATGTTTGTTGTACATGGTGTTCTATCATTGTTGTTTCCCTTTGATTTCTAGAACTCGCGATTGAAACCAACAAACAACAAACAACAACCGGAACCCGGAGGTACTCGACACAACACCACCACTACTACCACCACCACCACCACCCTTTCACGAATATTAAAGGAGGGAGGTCACACAAAACCACAGCTACACGCGCGCTCGCACACCCCCCACGAAACAAAGTTACCAAAACAAGTCTCCCTCTCTAACATCCACGGAGAAGATAAAAAGGATAGATGCTGGCAGAAACACACTCGGTTTTCAAGACCGAACATCACGCCGCTCGCACGACCGGCCCTGGCGCCACCAACATTCTCGACACCCCGAAACTCCGGGCTGCGTGCGAGAACTGCCGCCAGTCCAAGGTGAAATGCAACCTGTCCGTGTCGGGGGGCAAGGAGGCCCCCTCCTCGTCGCCCTCGTCCTCGTCGGCGTGCATCCGGTGTCTGCGACATGGGTTGACATGTCGGTATCGCGTTGCCAATCGGTCTGGGAAGCCCAAGGGGAGTAAGAATCGGGCTACGTTACGGAAATTGGGACAGTTGCAGCTTCAGCAACAGCAACAGCAACAGAATCAGCATCCGGAGGAACGGAAGCCGATGATTTCAAGAGGAGATGGTGGTCCCGGTGGGGGTGGGAATCTCCATGGCGGGTGGAATTATATTGAGCCGTTTGTGTCAAGTCAGCCACCTTCGGTGGTTGATGGGATCTTGGAGGAGCCGGTGAGTCTTTGCCCCCTTTACCTCTTTACTAGGGGTGTGCTTTTAAATGTGGAAGCTAATGGGGTTCTTCTCGATTGCTATGCAAAGAGTCCCCAGGATACCAGCCAACCCAGCCATTCTAACAGTCCTGACAGTCAGGGAGTTAGCATGACAGACGTCTCCTCGTTACTGGACGAGTCGTGCGCTGCAGCGCAGCATCTCGGGTATCATCCTCATCCTCATCCGTCTTGCATGGGGGGTCTGCCGCCGGGGGGATACGTGCCACCACCACCACCGCCGCCACCACCACCTCCGCCGCAGCTGTCCATCTTCGACCAAACGACGACCACCACCACCACCGCTACGTCGTCCATGTCGCCAATCTTCCTGCAGAAGGAGTTCATCACCAAGGGGATCACCAGCTGTCCACTGGCGGTGCATATGCAACCGACGTGCGACTGCGGAGACGCGCTGGTGTTCCACATGAACCGCCTGCGGTCCGTGACGACGATGGTGCATCACCCGCGGTTTGATCTGCTTTTGCAAGCCATCGCGACCGCGCTGGCGACGTGCCGCATCTTTCTGCAGTGTCCTGGCTGTCCCAAAGACGGCACGCATCTGCTGTATGCCGCCTCGATCGTGGACTTTACCGTGCAGCTGTTTGATTTCGCCATTCCCTACGAGCTGTCCCTGACGGGAACCACCGCCACCACCGCAGCAGCAGCAGCTGCTGCTGCTGCTGCTGCTGCATCGACCACCACGTCCACGTCACCAGCAAACGACCCCGGGGTGCTAGTGGGCTACGGGGAGTACGAGATCGCGCTGGACGAGACGCGCCGCATTCGGCGGTTTCTGCTGCGCGGCCGGCTGCTGCAGTGTCGGGAGGTGGTGAGCCTACTGCAGGAGACGACGGAGGTGAGTCGGCAGGAGCTTTTCATCCGCGGTGGTGGTGGTGGCAGCGGCAGCCCTGGGGCGACGGCGACGGGGGCGGCGGATCTGACGGCGGCGTTCGAGAACGGGGATTTGATTTTGCAGATCCTGGCGGGACACGATGCGACGGTGGAGGCGTTTCTGCAAGCGATGGCGGGGGGTGGCTGTATGTGTTGTTGTGGGTGCTGTGAGAGGCACCATCGGACGTAGTCGGTGAAGTTAGTGATACCCCATCCTTCTCGAGTTGTGGTGTAGTACAATTGAAAGTGGTTTTTGAGGGGGTATAATCCAATTGTTCTTTTGGTCAGCAAGTCGACACGAGCGACGAAACGGACCGAAGGGAGTCGGGAGAGAAGGGCATCATGAGTACTACAGTTGAACACGAGGGAGGAGGATACTACCTGGGATTGTAACAAAGTAAGCAATGTGTGACCCTGATGAACTTTCAGCCCAGGTCACTATCTCAGCCTAGTGTAAGTCTAAGCCCCAGCCTATGTCATAGTTGTGTAGATATTCCCACCACGTTTTGTATCAATAGCGACGTAAGGTTTTCTCAATTGCATTGCATGCTTCCGAAAGAACGGCTCTCGGCTAGAGTGGGTATGGACCGAGGCCGAGGCATCTTCTCCATTCCCCGCATAAACCATAAACCACCACCCAATAACTATACCTCCTATCCGCATTCAACACCCTACATTCAACATCCACCCAAACTCAACCTCACACCCCCCCCCCCCCAAACCCCACCCCCCCCCCCCCCCCCCCCAAACCAGCAGAATGAACCGGCTTACCCAGCTATCCACCCAGCTAACCTACCCCCAGGGCCTCCTGGCCAACCAAATCGCGCTCATCACGGGCGCCGCGCAGGGCATCGGCGCCGAAACCGCCCGGCTGTTCGCGAGGGAGGGGGCGCGCGTGGTCATTGCCGATGTGGATGGTGGTTAGTTTGCTGCCTTGCCTTTGTGTTGCTGTTGCGCTGCTTTACGCGCTGGTGTCTTGCGCTGGTGTCTTGTGTTGCTGTACTTGCGCTGCTTCACGCGCTGCGTTACTCGGAGCACTTGGATTACTTGGGGCAGTGTCAGGGTTAGAGATATTGGCTTGCCTTGGCTTGCCCTACCTCCACTTGCACTGAGATAATGTCATGCCTGCCCTACCTCCACTTAACTGAGATAATGCCATGCCCTACCCACCCTTACCCTTACCCCTTACCCTCACAAGCAAAGCAAAGCCCAGCCCGCAAAGCCCAGCAAAGCACAGCACAGCACCACCCAAAGACACTAACCCCCGCAACAGAAAAATCCCACGCCCTCGCCCGCGACCTCAACACCCAGCACGGCCCCGCCACAGCAATCGCCCTCCCCGGCGACCTCACCGACGAAAGCTACATCGACTCCCTCATCCAGCAGACGGCCGAGTTCGGCAACGGCAAGATCCACATCCTCGTCAACAACGCGGGGTTTACCTGGGACGGGGTGATTCACAAGGTAGGCCTTGCCCGTACCCTCCCCCTCACCCTTACCCTTACCCGCCCCTTCACTCTTACTGCTGTCCCTGTCCTCGTCCTCGTCCTTATTCGAAAAGATGAGATTGGCCACTAACCGAAAGGGAACTTATGGCAAGATGACAACCGCCCAATTCACGAGCATGCTCGCCATCCACGCGACCGCGCCCTTCCAGCTCGTGCGCGCCGCCGCCCCGTTCTTCCGGCTCCAGGACGGCGAACCCCGGTGTATCGTGAATATCAGTTCCACGAGTGGGGTGCATGGGAATGCGTACGCCCCCCTTGCCCTACCCTGCCCTAGCCTAGCCTACCCTTGCCCTAGCCTACCCTACCCCCTAATCCCCAAGCCTCCCCCAAACCCCCCCCCCCCACCCTCACAACAACCAAAACTAACACCAACCAGAGGCCAAGCAAACTACAGCACAGCCAAAGCGGCCATAACGGGACTGACCAAGACGATCGCCAAAGAATGGGGGCCGGGGTTCGGGGTGCGCGCCAACACGGTGGCGTTCGGGCACGTGCGGACGCGCCTCACCGGGCCCAAGGAGGACGGGGCGGTCATGGTCACGGCGGGCGGGGAGCGGGTCGCATTGGGGATCCCGGGGCGTCAGTTGCTTGTCCGGCGGGGAGGGGGGTCATCCTTTTCTTCGGAGGATGGTGGGGATGGGAAAGCTTCAGCTTCAGCTTCAGATAAGGGGCGGGCCGCCAGACAGTATCCCGATATTCCGCTCGGCAGGCCGGCGAGCGCGGAGGAGGCGGCGCGGGTGGTGTTGGCGGTGGCGAGTCCGTTGTTTGCTTATGTGACTGGGGAGACGGTTAGGGTTACGGGGGGGAGGAATATGTAGATGTAGGTTTTGGTTTTTTCTTTGGGTCTTGGTTTTGGGTGGTTTTGGGTGGTTTGGGGGGGGGGGACCGCAAGGCTTTTGTACCTGTAGTGTGGGATGGGGTCGATCTATAGTTTGTAACTTAGATGCTAGTACATACATGCATAGTGTGCAGTGGCAAGCTGAGTATGTGCAGTGTCTCTGCCTTAGTGTGGGGTTCATATGGTGGACAAGAACACTGATAATAGTGAAGTAAGAGCTGTGTCTACTAACTACTATGGAGCCATGTATCTGCCAAGCTGCCATGCTGCCATGTCAAATGTACTTCTGCTGAGCGGATTCCAGGAGTCTCCCGTCTACCTATAGCACCATGCTGAGTCTATATAAAAAACATGTAGTGCGATTCAGAAGTCGCTTCAATACACTAATGTACATATAGGCAACAATCATAGTTGCCTGAGTTGCGCTTGCCTAACATCACGCATTGCCTAACATCACGCATGACCTCAGCAGTAACACAAGCCAGCAGCATCTACCTAGCAACTCAATAGTCGCAACAGTGAAGTAAAAGTACAAGTATGTCCATCATAATGTTGTCAATGTGTGAATGTTGTCAAGAAGTGTAAGGCAACTAGTAAAACGTTGCCATAATCGAAAGAATCAAAGGTTGCCATAAGTTGCCACTTGCCACTTGCCAGTCCGAACCAAGCATCAAACCACACTGTGTAATTATGTATAAGATCAAAAGGCAACTCCAATATATCCCGGGTATTTTCTTTTCTTTCAATGCCATCGCCCAATTCAACGCCAACAAGTGTATCACCGAGTCAACCCGAGCAAAATTCCACCCAAGTGTAACCATTATTAAACAATCCACGGCCGCCTATCCTCAAGAACAAGGCTGTAGCTACAGCTGCAACTGCAATAAAAGGCAATTTATGCCAAAACAAATAGGGTATAATAAATCCAATCCGGAAAGAGGCGTATGTCCAAAGAATGTAGTGTCGAAAAGTGAAATCTCCTGGCTGTTCTGTGGAAAAATACAGTCGAACAGTGACCCAGTAGAGACGGATGTCAAATGCCGTTAATCGTGACCTGCGTAAAGTGCTTTTGTTTTTGTTTTTGGATGATTCAATAAACAGGAATCAAACTGAAAGGAATGACGTGTCCCTCAGGCGCCTGGATCGGGTCCGTAGGGTAGAAGTCCTTGCAGTCTTCAGTCTCGAATCCCACAGAAGACATCGACGAGACACTGTCCATGTCGGGATAGCCTTCCGTGTAGGATGAAGCACTGGAGACCACTGAGTTCGAGAAGTCGGAGTACTGAGAGGATCCAGAGGAAACGGAAGACTGCGTGTTGAACGTGTCCACGGGCCCGGGCACGGGGTTGAGATAGTCAACGGGTCCGCTGGACCAGGGGATAACAGGGTTCATGGTGAACCGCGGGCAATCCATGATCACCTGGCGGAGCTCCGGGATGGTAATCCGCTTGGAAGGGTCGCACTCAAAGATACGGCTTAGGATACAAATCATTTCATCGGACAGGGGCAGGATGGACTTGAGAAAGTACGGATCCTTGAGATATGCGCGGAACGTCGAGTCCTCAATCGAGGCCCGTTTCCACGGGTTGCGGCCGGTCGTCAGATTTACCAGAATGACCCCGAGACTCCACACATCGTTGGGCGCTGATTCGTAGCACGTCACCGATCGCGAACTTGGTTGCTGGCATTCTATGGTCAAGTCAGCTGTTGTCCATGGCAATACTTGGCCTGTTCTACCCGACCATCAAACCAAAGAACACATACCTGGAGACATGTAGAAGGTTGACCCGCAACCAAAGTCGGATGTCAGGTAGTCGGTGGTCGCCAGACCGAAGTCCGCCAGCTTGACCGTCAGGCCCTGGTCTGTCACCAGGATGTTCTCCGGCTTCAGGTCCCTGTGGTAGATTCCAATCGAGTGGCAGAAGTGGACGGCATCCAGGATTTGCAGGAACACGCGCTTGACCAGCAGGTCGTTGCCCACAAAGTTGCCCTTCTCGGTAATGCTGGAGAACAGGTCACCCTCGGGGCAGAACTCGATGACCACGTAGGTGCAGTCCACCGAGTCCATGATGCGCACCAGGGAGACCACGTTGGGGTGCTGGCTGGCCATGTGGTGGAGCTTGATCTCCCGCTGCTGGAACTTGAGCTGACGAGCATCCAGTCCGGACTTGTTGAGGGCCTTGACAGCATACAGGACATTGGTATGGATGTCGACGGCCGTGTAGACCACACCATAGGCGCCTACACCCAGGATGCTGGTGAGCTCCAGCCGGTTGGCCAGGAGCAGTCCCAAGCGGTCTTCCGGAGCATAGCAGCGCGCGGGCGGAGTGGGCGGCGGAGTGGGCAGCATGGGGGGATACATGCCGTAGACGGGGGAAGGGGGAAGCATGAGCATGAGGACGGGAGGTTGAAGAGACTGGTGTTAGACACACACGAGTCTCTGTCAAAGTAAAGTGAAGGGCGAAGGAGGCAGAGACACAGTAAGGGATCGTTGATATAAATCCTGGGGTCCAAAATCCGGGTGGCGGGACGGTGGTCAAGTCAAAGTCAAGGTATCCAAGGTCCAGAGGAACGGGGAAAGAGAGAGTAGTCGCCTTTCTGTCCAGTTGAGATAACTTCAGGGAGCCATTGAAGGAATGGAATCTGGAAGTCGATCAAATAGGCCGGGCAATCAAGGTCCTAGGGGTGAATGTCCAATGGATGGTGTGTCGAGATGCGAGTGGAATATTAATCTCCTTGTCCTTTGTGTTTTTTTTTTGCCTCTCTATTAGTGGGGGGAGGCGTGAGAAACCAGTGGCAATCCGAGCGGAAGTGTTGTTGTACAGCCAGGGATGCGCGATCCAGAAAATTGAGGATGGTAGATCCGATGGGGGCCCGATGGACGGACTGTTAATAATGGGCGAGTAAGGCGAGTAAGGCGAGTGAAGAGTAGTGGGTGGGAGGGATGTATGTGTGTTGTGTTATGCGCAAGGGAAAGGGGGTGGAGAGGGGGAGGGGGGGAGGATAAGGTGCACCAACTATATAAGTATAGAAGGAAAGAAAGAAACAAGAAGCTGATACACCGATCGAAAGGGGGAGGGACAGAGACTAAAACAGACGCGGAACCAGACACAGACAGACAGGCGGGGAGAGGGAGAGAGAGAGAGAGAGTTGGAAGAGGGGGAAACGGGCGAGGGAAAAGGAGAGAGAGGAAGGGAGGGAGGGTGAGGAACGGGAAAATCAATACGGGGAAGGTAGAATAGAGTAAGTAGGGTAGGTAGAGGTAAAGTAGGTAAAAATAAGTAGTTCAACAGTAAAAATAAATACTAGGGATTACTAGGAATTACTATGCGTAGGACTAAATGGGCGGGATGATAAGGAGGTGGTGAATTTAATTCCACGGAGTTTAGACTCGTGGCCAGAGCCACCGCAGCGGTTCCCAGGCGAATCACACGGGATTGCAGACCTTCCCTAAGAACCCCACACTTCACTCGACTAACAATGTATGATGCTTAGACTGGATGGAGAGTGGATCAGACTGGAGGGGGACTGGATGGGGACTGGATGGGGACTGGATGGGGGTCCGAGGGAGGCGAACAATAATACTGAAGAAGGTATGAAAGAGCTGAGCCTGGGCGGATCCATGATTTTCCCATTCCACCCTTCCCGCTTTCTGGTCGCTCCTACGTAAGAGGTAGATAGTAGATAGAATGCTTTGCCATAGTCAGACAAGTGGACGGCAAGGGAGTGAGTGTCTTGTTTGAGGGTGTGTGCAGCTGTGCAGACTGCGGACAGAGCCGGAAGGGAGGGAAGGAAACCTTAGGAAGCAAAGGAAGAAAGAGGAAGAGGAAGAGAAGGTCAGCAGACAAAACAATAGAAAGGGAACCACAACAAAGAATCAACCACCACTACGGAGTAGAAGTATGTGTCTATCTTTTACAGCCACTCACCTACATCTACAATCACCACTCTACAGTAGCCATTAGTTAGCTTGAAGATGATGGTAAACAACAATAACAATCACAACATCATTAGCATCAGCACCAGCACCAGCACCAGCACCAGCATCATCAAAACATCACATCTCACATCTTCAACATCAGAGGCGGTGTAGGTGTGACAGGTCTTGTTCTTTTGGACCACCAGATTTATTAATTCTTCCCAAATAATAATAAAAATAATAAAAAAAGGGCTCCACTCACATCATGCACAATCCACAATTCCCACACCACAAATCCACTTCCCAGCCTGGCCCGGGCGGAATCGATGGGAAAGGTTTCGACAGGCTCGCCTCCCTCCCCCCCCTCCTTTGGGATCCATTGGCTGCACGCGGGCTACAACTGGGAATGAGAATGAGTCTGGGATGAATAAATCCACCGCCTCTAAACTAAGTGTCTGTCTGTCTCATTGGCACCCGAAACTGCCACCACCACCACCACCACCACTACCAGTTCCTCCCCGGGATTGCTGGATTGGAACGGGGCGGCAATTCTCCATATGGCCTGCGACGGTTCGAGCAACAGACCAAGATCCTGACCCTGGTTCCAGCCTCCCCCCGAGCGAGAAACCCAGTTCCCAAAGCTACCTAGGAAGTAGCAGCTAGACTAGCGACCTAGCACAAAGGATCTCTCACTTCTCATCTCTGCCTCTTCCCACTCGTCACTTTGTCACTCGTTGTTTTCCTTCCTTCTCTCGTGCGCCCCGTTGGCTTGAGTTCGAGTGGTCAGAATGAGGCTGGAGGGATTTTATGAGCAGGAAGAAGCAAAGAAAGCAACCTTTACTATCTACCTCATTCCGGCTCATCCATTTCCCTAAAAATGAGGGAAAGCCCCACCAGGCGTCCTCCCGAGTGCTGGTCCATTGTTTCGTGTGCTTGACAGGGCACGCACGACCGATCTGGGGGCGGAGGGTTAGATGGATGGGAGTGACAGTTTGTTGTTGTGGTCGGGACAGTAGAACTTAGACTGGAAATTGTGACTTTGGTGTATAGACTCGGTTAGT